TTTCTCTAAGCACCTCCCCTAAGCACCTCCCATTGTACAAGGCCTTATGCTGGTTCGGTTCTCTATGGACTTTGATGTAATTTCCTTTCTTTATGGGGTGCGCTGTACCACTGCTTTTGTTTAATATAGTCTAGGGTCCTTTTCGCCAAAAAAAGTGATGAAACAAGAAAAAAAACGGAGAGAGGCGAGCGAACTATCGATCAAATGCACTCAGCGAAGGAAAAAACCCCGAAAAAACAGGCCCGACCAGTAGCTATGCTAAAAAGCTTCAACGCGAGTATCTTCCATCTCGCATAACGCAAGATATAGTCAGTTAACGGGCTTCCGTTCGCACGGTCGCTAGCATGAGTTGGCCCACCAGCGCACGAGCTCGCTCGGGAAATTCCCCAAATGGTTGTACTGCTGACGCTTGCTCGAAAAATGTTCCAGAAAACTTTTTTTCAATTGTTGAATTCTGAAAACAAAATCAAAAAAACATCAAGAAAAGTTCAGCAATTCAAAAAATTTGACCAATTTTGAAAAACGTTCAGGAACTTGAAACAAAGTTCACCAAATTTGCAAAAAGATCGTGCATTTCAAAAGGAAAAAGGAAAAATGAAAAATAAAATAAATCTAAAGACAATAGAAAATAATGCAGGATAAAGGAAAGAGAGAAAAGGAAAAGAAAAAATAGAACAAGAAAAGAAAAGAAAAGAAAAACCAAACAAGAGCAGTCAAGTAAAAACATTAATTAATCAGAAAAAACAAGAAAACCGATGAATAAATAAAGAATCAAAGAAAAAACGAAAAAATCATGAAATGAAAATAACTAAAGAGAAGAACCACGGAAGAAAACTAAAGTAAAAAACAAAAAAACCAGCAAAGAAAACAAAGAGAAAAATAAGAAAAACGTATAGAAACTGAGGATTGTGCCCTCGCCTCGCGCTGAGGATTAGGCCTTGTACAATGGGAGGTACTTAGAGAGATGCTTAGAAAAATAAACCGGATTTTTCTGAAGCACCGGCGCCTATTTCTACACGAGAAACGCTTAGTTAAGCGTCTATCCTGTACAAATAAGCACCGATGCTTAAGGAAAGTCTGCTTTATTTCTCTAAGCACCTCCCCTAAGCACCTCCCATTGTACAAGGCCTTATGCTGGTTCGGTTCCCTATGGACTTTGATGTAATTTCCTTTCTTTATGGGGTGCGCTGTACCACTGCTTTTGTTTAATATAGTCTAGGGTCCTTTTCGCCAAAAAAAGTGATGAAACAAGAAAAAAAACGGAGAGAGGCGAGCGAACTATCGATCAAATGCACTCAGCGAAGGAAAAAACCCCGAAAAAACAGGCCCGACCAGTAGCTATGCTAAAAAGCTTCAACGCGAGTATCTTCCATCTCGCATAACGCAAGATATAGTCAGTTAACGGGCTTCCGTTCGCACGGTCGCTAGCATGAGTTGGCCCACCAGCGCACGAGCTCGCTTGGGAAATTCCCCAAATGGTTGTACTGCTGACGCTTGCTCGAAAAATGTTCCAGAAAACTTTTTTTCAATTGTTGAATTCTGAAAACAAAATCAAAAAAACATCAAGAAAAGTTCAGCAATTCAAAAAATTTGACCAATTTTGAAAAACGTTCAGGAACTTGAAACAAAGTTCACCAAATTTGCAAAAAGATCGTGCATTTCAAAAGGAAAAAGGAAAAATGAAAAATAAAATAAATCTAAAGACAATAGAAAATAATGCAGGATAAAGGAAAGAGAGAAAAGGAAAAGAAAAAATAGAACAAGAAAAGAAAAGAAAAGAAAAACCAAACAAGAGCAGTCAAGTAAAAACATTAATTAATCAGAAAAAACAAGAAAACCGATGAATAAATAAAGAATCAAAGAAAAAACGAAAAAATCATGAAATGAAAATAACTAAAGAGAAGAACCACGGAAGAAAACTAAAGTAAAAAACAAAAAAACCAGCAAAGAAAACAAAGAGAAAAATAAGAAAAACGTATAGAAACTGAGGATTGTGCCCTCGCCTCGCGCTGAGGATTAGGCCTTGTACAATGGGAGGTACTTAGAGAGATGCTTAGAAAAATAAACCGGATTTTTCTGAAGCACCGGCGCCTATTTCTACACGAGAAACGCTTAGTTAAGTGTCTATCCTGTACAAATAAGCACCGATGCTTAAGGAAAGTCTGCTTTATTTCTCTCAGCACCTCCCCTAAGCACCTTCCATTGTACAAGGCCTTATGCTGGTTCGGTTCCCTATGGACTTTGATGTAATTTCCTTTCTTTATGGGGTGCGCTGTACCACTGCTTTTGTTTAATATAGTCTAGGGTCCTTTTCGCCAAAAAAAGTGATGAAACAAGAAAAAAAACGGAGAGAGGCGAGCGAACTATCGATCAAATGCACTCAGCGAAGGAAAAAACCCCGAAAAAACAGGCCCGACCAGTAGCTATGCTAAAAAGCTTCAACGCGAGTATCTTCCATCTCGCATAACGCAAGATATAGTCAGTTAACGGGCTTCCGTTCGCACGGTCGCTAGCATGAGTTGGCCCACCAGCGCACGAGCTCGCTCGGGAAATTCCCCAAATGGTTGTACTGCTGACGCTTGCTCGAAAAATGTTCCAGAAAACTTTTTTTCAATTGTTGAATTCTGAAAACAAAATCAAAAAAACATCAAGAAAAGTTCAGCAATTCAAAAAATTTGACCAATTTTGAAAAACGTTCAGGAACTTGAAACAAAGTTCACCAAATTTGCAAAAAGATCGTGCATTTCAAAAGGAAAAAGGAAAAATGAAAAATAAAATAAATCTAAAGACAATAGAAAATAATGCAGGATAAAGGAAAGAGAGAAAAGGAAAAGAAAAAATAGAACAAGAAAAGAAAAGAAAAGAAAAACCAAACAAGAGCAGTCAAGTAAAAACATTAATTAATCAGAAAAAACAAGAAAACCGATGAATAAATAAAGAATCAAAGAAAAAACGAAAAAATCATGAAATGAAAATAACTAAAGAGAAGAACCACGGAAGAAAACTAAAGTAAAAAACAAAAAAACCAGCAAAGAAAACAAAGAGAAAAATAAGAAAAACGTATAGAAACTGAGGATTGTGCCCTCGCCTCGCGCTGAGGATTAGGCCTTGTACAATGGGAGGTACTTAGAGAGATGCTTAGAAAAATAAACCGGATTTTTCTGAAGCACCGGCGCCTATTTCTACACGAGAAACGCTTAGTTAAGCGTCTATCCTGTACAAATAAGCACCGATGCTTAAGGAAAGTCTGCTTTATTTCTCTAAGCACCTCCCCTAAGCACCTTCCATTGTACAAGGCCTTATGCTGGTTCGGTTCCCTATGGACTTTGATGTAATTTCCTTTCTTTATGGGGTGCGCTGTACCACTGCTTTTGTTTAATATAGTCTAGGGTCCTTTTCGCCAAAAAAAGTGATGAAACAAGAAAAAAAACGGAGAGAGGCGAGCGAACTATCGATCAAATGCACTCAGCGAAGGAAAAAACCCCGAAAAAACAGGCCCGACCAGTAGCTATGCTAAAAAGCTTCAACGCGAGTATCTTCCATCTCGCATAACGCAAGATATAGTCAGTTAACGGGCTTCCGTTCGCACGGTCGCTAGCATGAGTTGGCCCACCAGCGCACGAGCTCGCTCGGGAAATTCCCCAAATGGTTGTACTGCTGACGCTTGCTCGAAAAATGTTCCAGAAAACTTTTTTTCAATTGTTGAATTCTGAAAACAAAATCAAAAAAACATCAAGAAAAGTTCAGCAATTCAAAAAATTTGACCAATTTTGAAAAACGTTCAGGAACTTGAAACAAAGTTCACCAAATTTGCAAAAAGATCGTGCATTTCAAAAGGAAAAAGGAAAAATGAAAAATAAAATAAATCTAAAGACAATAGAAAATAATGCAGGATAAAGGAAAGAGAGAAAAGGAAAAGAAAAAATAGAACAAGAAAAGAAAAGAAAAGAAAAACCAAACAAGAGCAGTCAAGTAAAAACATTAATTAATCAGAAAAAACAAGAAAACCCGGGATGAGGTTTCTCCCATTCCACCCTTACATGGGCCGGCCAAGCCGAGAGCGCCTTTAGCCCAGTTAACGAAATGCATTCCACCCTTGGATGGTCCGGCCGAGGTAAGAACGCCTTTAGCGCCAGCTAACGAAATGCATGTTAACGGGCGCTGAAGGTGCCGAAGAGAAAATGCCCTCGGTCTCACACTAGACGGGACATAGTCGCTTCGTGCAGGGTAGGGGCGCGTCTATAACTCACTTATAGTGAGATACGCCATCGCCTTGCCTGAAGTGTTGTGCTATTGGTTCTATTCTTTTTCTGTTAGTTCACTTCGTCTCATTTTTTTCATTTCATTTTTCTATTTTTGTCATATTTAAAAGAAATACATATATTTCACAAGGAATCATTCCAGTTTTTAAAGTATAATATAGCTTAAAAATGTTTCCTATGTATAAAAACATGTACAATATGTATGAAAAAAGTTGACATAAAAACATATATCTGAAAAATGGCAATCATGTATGTAACACTGAAATACGTCTAGATACATTTGTTTTAGCGTCAATTAACATAAGATGAAGACAATATTTGAAAAATGATAATGTATATAAGAAAAATATTTCTTATGTATACCAAAAATGTAAAATCTGTGCCAAAATAGTACACATCAAACATATAGCTAAATTAATATTAATCATATATTTGAAAAATGTAAACAAGTATAGAAAAATGTTTCTACTGTATATGAAAAATGTACAATCCATATGATAAAAAGTAGCCCTCAAACCCATATTACGAAAACAATTTAATGATGTATGTAAGAAACGATAAGCATGTACACCATCCGTTTCAAAATACTTGTTATGGTTTTAGTTTGAATTTGAACTAAAACCACCAAGTATTTTGGAATGGAAGGCCGCAACGAGTGCCTTCCACTTACGACGTCCAGAAAGCATGTTCCTCCTTTTGGAAGGAAAAGACAACCGTTGCATAGTGGCAGAGCTAACTTCAGACTTCATTTGCTGGCACAGGAGCAGAAGCGTAGGCGCTGTCTTTAGATGTAGCTGTTGGCGCCGAAGGAGATGTAGTGGTTGGTACCAAACGAGGATTATTGCCCGCGGTTGCTTCGTGGTGGTCATTTTTCTGAGTAAGAAGATACGAGGAGACCACAAGGGCGACAACTACAAGAAACAGAAATGTCGCGTCCACGAAAACTGCGACACCTCCGGCACAACTACTATTCCCAATAGTTTTCTCCATAGATCCTTCAATCCCTAATAGGGCGCCTCCCAGGAAAGCTAGCACCGCTATGATCGCTAGGATCCTGCAAGTATACATGTATGGCATAGAGACCACATTAGTTAATACTACTTAAACAAACAATCCACCAAGTATATATAGATTTTGTTAAACTTCAGTCTGAAAATTTTAAGCAAAGGTGTATTCTTTTTTAAAACCATAGAGAACGAACGTTCTCCTGGGTCCCTGCTGCCTTCCAGCACGACAGAGCCTGCACCATATAATTTTGACTCACATGGCCGTGCAGTCGTATGATCATGATGCATACATGACATTGACACGGCAACCTCAACTGTCACCGTGACAAATTATGATGACATGTAGCGATTTGAATTGTGAGTTGCCTAAGGGCATGCATAGTGATTGATAAAGCAGTCTTATCTTAAATCCGTCAAGTAATCTTGATATGACAATAAAAATGGTGTACAACAAGTTATACCTAAATATGTGATGAGAGATATTGTTGCTAACAGAACATATCTTAATTAAGAGAAAGCAAACCTTTTCTCTCGTTTCTCTCTCATTAATCTCAATAATTATCCTACATGACACTTTTAATATAGTATCATTGTATATGTCTTAAGTTCATGGACCCTCTTGCGTGATTTTCTACCAGATTGACTGTTCTGTACCTAGGTTTCAAGTTTACCGCCCATGGTGGAATTTCCTCCTTTTTTCTAAAAAATTCATACAATATTAATTTTAGTGTCAAGTTTTTTTTTGCCTGAAGATGATATTTTCCTTGACTACTGACAGAAAGCAGCTGGACCCTAAAAAAAAAGACAGAAATCAGCTGAGATATGCAGCTTTCAGTGACAAAATTATTTACATACCATGAGATGACATAAAAAACGACGGCGGCGATGCGATTGGCCCTCTTGGGATTCTGCCATGCCCCACAGCAGCCGATGGCCACGCTAGCGAGAATCTGTGTCGTTAGCGCCAGCACGGCCGCCACGACGCCGCAAGCCGTCGCCGGCGATCGCTCGTACTTACACACGCTGCGGTCATCGTGGTCATCCTGATAGCTTCTCTGCATGAATGAGTGCACACAGTTAAGAATAATCACCAAAATTACTATGAACTACTGTACAACTAGATTATTGGTTGGCCAGAGGTTGCATACCAGCCCCAAGAAAACCGCGCTGATGACCCCGAAGATGACAGTCATCACGGCGATGACGGTGGTCGCCACCACGATACCTTTCTTCCCCATGGATGATCACACTACACTCCTAATCGGGGCAGATGAGTTGGATAGTGCATTAGGCGCAAACACATGCATTTATAGATAGATGAGCAGGTGCAGGAACACAATGGTAGCTCGAATATGATTACTCGACGACGGGCTAACTCATGCATGAAGATTATCAATCGCATTAACTGCTCCATTTCTTTGTAGTAAGCTAGTTGCTCCGTTCCTAAATATAGGCCTTTTTAGGAATTTCGACATGACTACATACGGAGCAAAATGAGTGAATGTACGCTCTAAACTATATCTATATATATCCGTATGTAGTTCATAGTGAAACCTCTAAAAAAACTTATATTTAAAAACAAAAGGAGTACCATATAAAGGTGATACTTCGATCCAAATCAACTATCACAATTCTAATACAACTTCCCTAAAGTACATATTATTAAGTTGCGGCTAGCCAAGAGTTTTGTCAAGGATTCAATCGACCCGAGTGGAGTGCTGTCAAGAATTCCCGCCTCACCAAGCATGGCGAAAACAAGAGGGTCGCCGGCTCGCGGCTTAGAAAAAGCCTCACTTAAATCAGCAACTAAACCTGAAGAGAGGCCCCTAGAACTAACTCGATAGAAGCAATGTACTAAATTTGAGACACTTATTTTGGGACAGAGGAAGTATTACGTAGCTATAAATTCCATCAGACGTGATGGGGAAGCACTGTGAGCAAAGAAAACTCCCGAGCTTGCGAACCGATGAACACAACGCGGAGGTAAATAGCGAGTGAGAATCATGCCCTACGGCTTCGCAAGAACTGATGAACTGAAAGCAAATCGCCCGGAGCACCAAACTAGCAGAAAACAGCGGAATCCTTACGTTAGCTCCAAGTCGACTGCCCAAATCAAGCAAGGCACTGCTGCCCACACCCCACAGAGCCCTACACCACCAAGCGACCAGCGAAATGAGAGGACGGCGGTTACCGGGAGCACGAGAAGGGAGAGGCGGCCCGCCCACCTCGACAAGGCAGTCGGGAGGAACCAAGCTCGCCGGAGTACGATTTTGGTCCAGAAATCCAACCAATACTTGTTACTAATAAATAGTGTGAGGAGATAAAGGAATAATAAACAAGTGGATAGCTTGTTAAAGAAAGTAGTGGATAGTTCATGACTCACGTACGTTTCGAATCCGGAAAGAAAGGATCGGAACGAGCGGAATATTCAAAGGATTGCACGACCGATGCACGACGCATGCAGGGTCCGCATCCACCATTATTCAGAGCCTCAGAGGTTGGCGAGTGCCTCTCTTGCTAGCTGTTTCTGTCCAGGCAGGCAACGTCTGAGCGGCGCACCGGAGACACTCATACGCGTGCCTACATGCGTGGTGATGCACGGGTGTACGTGTCGGCCGGGACGCCCGAGATATTCAAGGCCCGGCAGTAGGGACCGGCTTGTGGATTGATATCAACGTCGCGGCTGAAGTAAAATGCATAGAACCACCATAATACATTCATTGTTAACAAAAAACCAACACTTTATAAAACATGTCAAAAGTCACGGCATTAAAAAATTGACAGAGGCAAAAAATACTGACGATAGATGCTTCGTGCTTTGCTGACGTCACTAACTGGCTGAGCCCGCCTGTCAGGCTGAGTTGGCAGAAAAAAGTGCCACATAGGCAAAAAAAAAAAACTTCCATATCCTCTTCTTCCTCCTCTTCCTCTCTCTCCTTTGCATTTCATCAAAACACCCCATTTACATAGTAGCACGACGAGGAGAGATGGAGGCTCGGTGCGGAGGTGGCGGACATGGACCTTGAAACCCCATTGCATCGGCGTCAAGTAGGAATCATTGGGTGGAGCCATCTCTTGCGGTCCTGCCTTAACAGAGTTGTAGATGCTCGCGCCGCCGTCGCTCAGTGTGATACTCCCACGGCTCGCCCATCGGAAGTGGCACCATCTTCACCGGCAGGAACGGGTGCTTCGTCCCTGCTAATGTGTCGTTCTCGGCGGAAATTGACAAGATCCTGATGAACCGTCGTAGCGTTTAGAGGCTGGGTGCGCCATGAGGTGGTGTCATGGAATCGTGGCGTTGGAGCGCCTGGGACCAATATTTTTTTTTTGCATATGTATTAAGACGTTTGGTCTAATTTCGAAATTGTTCAGAGTTTTATATGTTGTTTTCATTGCAAAATGATGGGTCTTCTTCCATAACTTTTCAATTACGAGTACGAGAATTGAAAGACTTGAAATCTTAATTCTCTACAGCATTTAGTAGATAGAAACAAGAAAATTAGAAGAATCAACGTGGACCAATTTGAATGTGACGAGAACACCTTCTTCATTAGGCGCGGTGATGAGCACCTTTGTGCCGGTCACGCTTTCAGCGTCAGATTCATCTCCAGGGAGACCAATCCACCGGCCGAGGGCTGAGTTGGCAAAGAAAACTGCCAGGTACACACTTGGACTTGGTCATGATTTGATCCCTAATTGTGTGGCCATTTTGTAATATGCAGATGACACGATATTGTGCATATCTCATGATATTGAGAAAGCAATCAATCTGAAACTCACTTGTGTGAAATGAGACCTGGACATAAGATTAACTTCTTGAGAAGTGAAGTTTTTTCTATTGAAAGTGATAATACAATGCAAATCAGTCCTAGGTCATACTTGGCTCTTTCGGACCGTAGCGTCGTGGCACGCGGTCTACGCCGCCGTCCTAAGGCCGTTCCGGTGGTTGAACGAACCTGCGCGTTGCCGCTGCGTCGCCCCTTCAGGGCGTAGTGCCGCGACCCGTGGTCCACCGCCGTCCCGAGTCCGTCCGCTCCAGACCGTTTCCGTGGCTGCATCGACCCTTGCGCTGCCGCTGCGTCGCCCCATCGGGCATAGCGAGCGCGGCATGCGGTCCCTGCCGTCGCTCTGAGGTCTTCCCTGTCCTCGCCTCGGCTCGTGCGCTGCCGTTGCGTCGCCCCTTCGGGCGGTAGCACTATGTGGCACGGTCCACTTCTGTGTGGTATGCACCACACAGCCTTCTTAGGCGCGGGAACGCCATTGTCCGCGTCGGTTTTCGTCACACTGTCGGGTTAGCTTCCTAGCCTACTTCGAGCACCGCTGCCGCGCTCCTAACGTAGCCGCCGCCGCCTCCTCAGGTCGCCGCCGCCGTTCTTCTTCCTTGTCCACGACGACTACCTCGAAACCGGCCACCTTGACTCGACATCGACCACGGCGTCCCTCGCATGGCTACCTCGATGACGGCTACACTACCCTACGCTCGCGGCTACCTCAACATCGGTACAAAGGGGTACCGCCTTGCTTGAGTAACCTCATTGGTTTCCGCCGCAGCAATGACTTCTACCATGCAACGACCGTTCGACTGTGGGGGGATGTCCGTCGACTTACCTTTGGATTATTCTTCAGTCTCACCGTCTGCGTCGCTACCATTGTGATTGCGAGGGGATGTCCATTAGCTTACCTTCGGATTATTATCCAGTCTCATCGTCTGCATCGCTAACATTGTGATTGTGGGTGAAGTCCGCCGGCTTACCTTCGGATTATTCTCCGATCTCACCGCCTGCATCGCTACCGTTGTAATTGCCGGAGGATGCCCGTCAGCTTACCTTCAGCTTATTATCCAGTCTCATCGCCTGTGTCGCTAAAATTGTGATTGTGGGGGAAGTCTGCCGGCTTACCTTCGGATTATTCTCCAGTCTCACCGTCTACGTCGCTACCGTTGTGATTGCAGAGATACTGAGTATCGTGATTATTAGGAAACATATGATAGACTATGAATTATTTTATCTTGTTTTGTATTCCAAAAAGATCATGTACTCCGGCTCAAACAATATATCAACAGTTTCACCCATCTTCCTCTATATTCTTCTACACACGTGATCCAGCGGCTAGGCGTGGAGGCATCTGACAACTAGCGTGGTAGCTCTGATCAGTTGATCGTTGCTGAGCAGCGTTCTTGATGAAAGATCAAAACCAGTCAATAAACTAAGAAAGGCTAAAAGAGGGATATTTTATCGGCATACACAATACAGTGATGCCATAGCGGCATGAGCTACCCTCACACTTGATTTTCACATGCAGAATGAGAAGGCGCGGAACCAACTTTAGACACCACGGTTGGCACCGAAGGAGTATCACCGCTAGCACCTGCTTGGTGGCGGCCAACCTTCTAAAAGAGGATATACGAGACTATGTCAAGGCCGACAACTATTTTAAATAAGACCGTCGCCACCACGAAAATTAAGACACCTGGTGTGTTACAATTGGCATCGCCCACGTCAATTTGAAAATAGCCTCTAGACCCAACCATCGTCGCGGCCAGCAAAAATATTATCACTGTTGCAACCGCAAGGAACCTGCAAGTATGCATGGAGAAACCACAATAATTATTAATATATAAACGAACAAACCTCTTACCACGTGTAGATTCCCTATGAAACTTGCACTTTCAAAGTTTACAAACACTTTTCCCTCCGTAACTTACATTGTAGTACTTTCTCCGTCCCATAATATAAGAATATTTTTGACTTATGGAACGGAGGGAGTAGATTGGGAATAGATGCGTTAAAGTTTGCGTATTTGATCTCTTGATAGTAGGGTACGTACCATGAGAGGATGAACAAGAGGACTGCGAGGACACGCTTGCCCTTGCTTTTGGGAGTGGGACACCTCTCGAAGCACCAGCCGCAGCAGCCCATGGCCGCACTGGCGACGATCTGTGTCATCAGCGCCAGCACCGCCGCCATGATGCCGCAGGGCATCGCCGCCGGCCTGTAGTTACAGTCACTGCGGTTGCTGTACTGAGCTGTCTGCATGAACGTACGAAGCGCACGGTCAAAAAATCCCGTACACAAGGATCACCAATGGAGGAAGAGATCTAGCTTGCGGTGCATACTGCCACCACGAGGATCGCCCCGATGATTCCGAAGAAGATCGTCAGCACGGCAAGGACGCTGGCTGACACGACCAGACCGTTCTTGTTCTTCCCCATCTTCGAGCTCATCACTACTCTTGATTA